TTAAAAAAAAATGCACTGAACCATTAAATTTAAATAACCGGTTATGGTTAATTCTACAATAATTGTTCACATGAGTAAAAGTGAATACAATCGACAAGAAAAACTAGGATCCTTCATAGAGCCTCCTCATAATAATCGATTTTTTATTGGAAAGCTCGTTCGAGAAATAAAACCACGCCGCTGAGCTGAGTTAAATGCAGCTCAACGACCCGTCTAAATTCGCGGTTTTATGTTAGCAAATACATGTGTAATGAGAGGAGCGCAGCGGCGTGATTTTCCGAAGTAATGAGCAGAGCTACCTCATACGGCCCAATTGTATAATACAAAGGACACCCCGACGCATTTGATCAGAGATGTAGAGAATTCACTTGGTCTACTACTATTACTACAACGTCAAGTATGATGTGTGGTATAACTAAATTACAATTTAATAAATTTTAGTAATTATGTCTCAAATACGTATACAAAAATTTCCATATGTTCATCCCTGGAACGGATGCTCAAGTCAGAAGAAAAAACATTTTTCATAAATATAAAAGGTTTTTATATGTAGGTAAATGGATTTATGTAGCTATACCATGTCAAAATAGTTAATTAAAATCATTTTTATTTATTGCTGCACTTTTACTTATTTATAACTATGAAAGTCAAAAGCTTTTTATTTATTATTATTTTCATGAAATAATTTGTTAAACAGAAAATTGGAATCTACTACTTAAATAAAATTACCAACGCAGCAATATTTAAAAATTCTTTATATCTAAAGATATTGCTTTATTTTTACCTCCCATTAGTTTTTCTTAAGGCACTGACATAATATGTACCCAATTTAGGTACCCAAACATTACATATAGGTACCCAGAAATAGTTTTTTTACAATTTGGAAGCATCACTATGTTGTATTCTCTATAAATTTTTCACATGACCATCTACTCTCAGAAAAAAACAATTATCCGAATAAGGTACAGGAAATAGTCCATATCTTTCCAAAAGAAAAAATATCCCTCTAACACAAATTGGTCCTTTCACAAGGACGATCTGAATTTATTGCAGGAATGAGTAGGTACATCATGGGGAATCCCTGAGTAGTTTTTCAATTCAATGCCTAGTTTTTCCGTAAGGGGACGTCAAAGTTAACCAAACTTTTTCTTCAATTTATTCTGGCCGAAGCGAGCCTGCTGAATTGTTAAAAGTTGGTCAAAATTTAACCTTAATAGCCAAACAAATAATGACGGTCCCTTGCGGAAAAACTAGTTATGGAATAGAAAAACGTCCCCTTGAAACACTACTCACAGATATCCTTTCTATTCAATTCTACAATAATCTCAAGTAGTCCATTTCGAAGAACAACTTTGCTTTATTAGAGAGATATTTCTTCTTTAATTTTATATATATTTTAGTTTCTGAAAATAATGGGGAAGTGAGGCGTCAGAATCGAGCTTTCGCCTGGAAAAATTTAAGGTATAAATATATGTCAATCATTCGATTAAAAAAGCTAACACATCTCTTGATGATATTATTATCACATTCGCCACATTATAAAGTTCAATATACAAATGCCACTACACCATTAGAAACTTTAATTCAACTTATTCTCATTAAACAAATTATGTACAGTATTATGCGAATGATAATAACTTTAAATAAAAAAAAAACCTGCTGCTGCGGTGGATGCTTTTAAAAACTTCCCCTGCTCTTTAAAAGCGAGCGCTCAATGCTTTTTTGTAATAATCGCTTGTCGCTTGATTTTCTCGCGGCATCGCTATTTCATTGGCGTTTATTCAGCGATAGCAACCAATGACACTTTCGCTTCAACCAAACATGGCCCCTGTACCCGACCAATGAGCTTGGACCATCAATTTTGTGGCAAGGACTCGCTTCAGCGCAAAGGACGATGCTGTCAGCGGACTAGACTTTTCCCGAAAGCTCTTTGGACTCGATAAGATCAACGACTCCACATAACGATTTCCACTTTCTTTGAAGGGAAATTGATTGCAAAAGGATTTTGATTTGGATTATAGTGTGTTTACTTTTTGTTGCTTTTTAAAAAATCTTTACTTTCGAAAAATTTTAAACAAGTCTAATCCATCAGAACATATGCAAAAGGATACCAGAGAAGAGCAGATTCGACTCTCGTACCGAAGGTCCTGTATTTCATACATTATTAAACATATATAATGATTTTGAAAATGTAAACACTAAGCCGCGCTTCCTGGCTTCTTACATTAAAGCGAACAGTCGATACCAAAAAAACCTTCCAGCAGATAATATAAACAAAAAGGATTATTATTATTTGAGATTTTTCAGCCTGCAACTTTAGCAGATATGAAAGGAGGGTGTTTTTTATCACAATTTTCTTCATAGATCTATAACTTGTTTTCTGGCCCAATTAATTTTTGGGTCGTTTTTTATTAAATTTTTAGCAATATTTTCAAAAATACCCCTTCCTTTTTAAAAATAAGTACTGAACAGGCATTAAAGGCTAAATTAACAGGAGTGTTATAACAAACGAATGGAATAATTTTATTACCCATTCGAAATGGGACAAATGTTTTATTGTTTCTTGTGTTATTATAAATCCCTAAAGGAGTAAATACAGATGCCTATATGTATCCTAGGTAATGTTTATCTATTGATATATATAAGTACGTAAATATGAGTTTAGTTTTGATCCTTCATAAACCATCGCATTGGTTTGGACCGATTCCAATGTGTATGACTGAATGAACCTAGCAAAATAAATCCCTTTCCTGTTGCCATCATCGCATTCGGCTGGATCTCGCTATAGTTGGGGACTGTAATAACCCGAATCCCAGTCACGCCCCCGGCCCGCAACCCGATGGCGTACAACAGGCTCCGGGAGCATCGCATCAGCACTCAACAAAAGCCGCAGCTTGCTAGGTATATTCGATCACATCACCGCGCAACTTCAGCACTAGATAAAGTCAGTCAGCGGTCGTAATTTTTTCTCGCGTTGTCGAAGCTCACTAGATTCGATTTTCAATTTTTCCGTGTTGAGCTTTTTACTGGAAACGTTTTAGACCTCGGGGAATGTTTTTGTTCGACGAAAGCTCGCTAGATTTTGTTACCTGTGCGTGAAAAATTTCTTTTATTGGAACTGAACTGAACTGAATTTGAAAAACTTGCCTCGGCCTATTTGAATTGTTGTTTTAATAAGGAAGAGTAGAAGGTGAGTTTTGGATTTCATTCGTCAACTAATGTATCTAACAATAGCAGGGCGAAATTGATTTACTTGTCACAACTTACATTTCTGAAGGCAACAAACATTTCAAAAAAATGTATACCTACAACAACCTAATGGTAGTAGACCCTATAACCGGCATCCCACCTATTTTTTAATAATGCCTGATATATTAAAACCTTTTTGAATTGTTAAAAGAGGAAATTCACAATGCTGAGCATTTCTACTTATTGCAAAATAATCCCCTTATAATGCCTGGCAAAATATTTATTAGATTCTCTATAATTTTTGTCTGTTGTAATTTCAAACTAATCCAAAATGTATATTCTTCATGGCAGAGATTGTAAACTGGCTTAATTTTGTTATGCGATACGATATCGATAAATCCAAATCCAAATAAATGTAAGCAAAAGTATTTTTTTATCATTCAAATTGCTTATCATTCAATCCTTAATAAGATCAAATCCAGAGGTAAACTTAAACGTCCCAGTTTATATTTTTATACGATTATTATTAATAATATGTAACAAAAAAGTGCAAAGGACTTTCTTCTTTTTATTTCTAATTCTATGCATCGGCTGAAATCTAAATGGATTATTATTCTTTGAAATACTAAATTCCAATTGCTTATTCTTTTCATCACGAAGTGTAATTATGCAACTAACTTTTTTGTTATAAAATGATTATTAATTACTTGAATAAAAGCTGAATTGATTTAAAAGGATCACACTTGCAACGTACCTATTATAAACGTTAATAAGATTCCCAAGAATCAACCCCTAGCAGGAAGAATTCTCGGTTACGCACCCCCCGTTTGAGATTCCTTCTCCCATATGATGTAAATTACACGCTTCTTTTCAACGATAGAGTGTCAGATTTCCTTTACGCTCAATTTGCAAAACAGGACCACCATGGGACTTGATGGGTGTTATTTATTCTGTAGATATTTCTTTTAGACATACGGGTTCAGGATGAAGATCTACCGCCACGATTATCATTTATTTACATTAGAATTATGTGACCGCATCGTTGTTTAACTTGGATTAGATAATTTGACTGAGTGGATAAAACAGATTTGAGAATGATCCGTAAAAATTAAAAGGATGTTGTTGATTTTCATTACCTTAAAACGGAAATCCTAGATTCAGCATGTGAACAAACTCACCGAGGACCTGAAACAAAATTAAGTAGTACATAGTATATTTTTTAGTAACACAGCAATTGTATATAATAAGACTTTTAGACGTCATATCTGTACGTTAC